GGTGATGATCCTTCTTGAATAACATAAATTATTTCATGTATACGGGGATATTATTTCTTATTATCTGAGAAATTGATTTTCTTCCCTTAGTAACACATTTAACCACAAATAATCTTTTCACAGTAAGAAATATAGTTGCATACACACATTGCTGATTCCCATAGTAGCAGAAACAGTTACAAATTCAGATCTAATACATGTTGCATTCTTTCAATTATAGAGAAATGTGCATGTATACAAAATTGTGCTTTCTTAGAAACATAGATAATTAGGCTTTACATGATTGTAGCGTAGAAGGAAGAATTTAACGTCCACTAATAAAAATACATTAAATGACCCTTTTAGTACGGAAATAAGTATATATATGAACACTTCTTCCTTAAGAGAAATATAGCTGATGTACCTTCAGTTTCATGTTTTATAACAATATAAATATCAGAAAACTCCTCTTTAGTAACATTGCTCAATGAATGTTTTGTTCATCATATTTTATTCGGGACAAAGATCTGGAACTGTACATCTGAAAGTTTTAAAATCGACTATTTGTGAAAGAATAAATAATTGAATAGCAGTCGTTGAATGAGAAGTACACGTATATATTTGAGATGTAGTTTCGCAAAATTAAATGATGAGATTTATTTGTTTGAAGTTATGCACAAAGCTACACAATGGGCTATCTGTGCTCTGCCCACCACGAGTATCGAACCCCGGTTTCTAGCGTTGTAAGTCCGCAGAAATACCGCTGTGCCACTGGGAGGGGAAGCAAATCTTAAGACATATAAATGAATATTCTGGTAATATTTTGTTATTTTTTAAATTTAGTATAAGGGTAGGTAATCCAAAAACTTTATGATTCCACGTTGGTATTCAATGTGGTACCTCAGTGATCGTTTCCAATTTTCACCATTTTTCACGAGCGTATAAAGAGTGCGATCTTTTCTTATTTTCAAGTTCCCTAGCTTTAATGTCTAGAATCCGATGACAATTTCCCTTTTTTTTCAATTTTGCTCTGTCAAAAAGTTTCATATTTTACGCTCATGAAAAATGACAAAAATTGGAACTGACCTCTTTGTGACATTTTATTAATATTAAAAATTATAACATCATTTATTTTATTACATATACATTAACATTAAGACAGAACAATGGTTAAATAGATGCATCAAAGAATAGGGCATAGCTTCAGAGTTAGCCCAATTAACACTTAAAATTTTGCTCATTAACGAATATATACATAGAAGGACTTGACAATCCTTTCTTTGGGGTTTGGATATGCGAATGTGTATTGTAATTGCTATTCAATTGTATTGAAAGTTAACTCTCTAGCTTTGAACCAAATTAATGTGAATGATTATATTAATACTATAAATCAGAATACACACTTGTTAATATTAGAAGATAAATAAATGATAGTTTTGTGTTTGTAAAGAAACACAAACATTTTACTTGTCGATATCCTAGAAAAATAGTTGAAAATGTTCATATTAATAAGAGCATTTATGATTCCATTTGTCTTTTGAAAGGTGAAAAAAGTAATATTGATTTTTTAGATAAGTTATATTTTAGGAAATATTTAGTCGTAATTTATGTATAAGAGATGACATATATTTTTGAGAGTCAAGTAAATGTTGTTCCTCAATATTATTTTCTCCTTTTTGTAGTAAAATTTCTATTTAAATTTACAGTTCATGCTTTCATGTTTGTACTCATCACTGCTGATTTCCAAACTCTAAACAAAAAAGCTAACACATCATTTCAGAGTCTTTTTTAATTCTATTTTAATAGAAATTTATCCAATTTAACATTTTTCAATTGTAGATGGGAAGAGCTTTCGAGGCACACTTAATCTACTTTATTCCATACACTGTTTTAGATGGTTGGGCCAGTGGTTATCTTGTCTTTTAGATGGTCCAGTGGTTATCTTGTCCTTATGTGAGTCTAAAAATTCAAGGTTAGCGACCACTTTCCACAAAAACACGCTCCGCACTTTAGAGTCAATCAGAAAAGATTAGCCAAACAAAGAGTTGGCGTTGCTTGCTGTTGACTAAACTCCCTTCCACCTAAAAGAATTCAGGTAGCGTAATGCGCATAGCAGTTTAAACATTTTTATGAAGAGTAACGGTCAGTACCCAGTTAAAAATTATTTAATTTCTCAACGTTTCACCTTACGGCTTTATCAAGGGGTTGACACTCTATATAACACAAGCCCAGTATTAACATAACAAAACAACATAATTACATCAGCTGTTTTGTTCTGTTAAAACTGGGCTTGTTGTACTATCATTGGGTGTCTACCTCCTGATAAGACCGTAAGATGAAATGTTGAAGAATTAAAAAAAATTTAACTGGGTACTGGCCGTTACTCTTCATAAAACATACCTTGCAGATCATACTTATGAAATGTGTTTTTTAGTAAAACTTCTCAACTGAAGAACGCTCCATTAACATTTTCTTACTCAACATTTCGTCAAAAATTCAAGCCCTTTTGTAGTATTATATTATATCAAAATTTTTATCTTCCTCAGGTATAGAAAATTAATAAAATAGAAATTTAGAGTAAGTCACTGTACACAACTGAAATTAGTCATACGAAGCATTGCCAACATTCCACTGAATAAAACGATGAAATATATTCTTTAGAAACAATGTGTTATGTGGGGTGTTAGTGATCTGTAGATATATTCCAATTAAAATATATTCATATTAACCAAAGTAACATAATTTTTAAGAAAACAAAAGTGAAACAGACAGCAGATCCTTAGTTCAGAGTGACACTTATACAGAAAGTCTTGGAGGACTAATATATAAATGTAATTCAGTTCCTTTCTACCTTTGTTCATCATGAATACTCTGCCTAAATTATCTGTGAAAGAAACATAAAAGATAGGAAAATATTCATAATAGCGCCATTTGCTATTATGATGGACATGGTAAAACTAATTTGAGTTTTAAATATTACATTAGTACAGGTAGCCTTAGTAAAAGGAAACAAGATTAATGAAATGTACATAGTTACTGCAATGTAAAACAAAATTATTCATAGTGACAAAACACGGTGAATTAATGTTAAACATTATTGATGTAACATGCAACAATTCTTAATCATACAATTTGACAACATATGAATTGTGTAAGGCTTAAAATTACCTAAATTACTGTAATTTAGGAAATTTGATTAAACCTATTCAACCTTTCTCTAGTCATATTAATTTGTTCATATTTCAATTCTAGCATTAGTTTCAATTAGTGTGACAACAGTCCTCTGACATTCAGCTTAGAATAGATACGTAAACCGTCAAATAATAAACTTACTTCTAAAATGTTTACTTTCGAAGTAACGTTAATATAAACTAATCTTAAGATAATTAACTTGTCGATGCTTAATAAATTGGCTTCTCAAGGCTGTATATTTATGAAAACAACATAATTAACATTATCATTTCTAAAGATTTATCATACTCACCTTATTATTATTATTATTAGATTTCCATTACAAATTTTCAATTTAAAAGCAGGATTTCATTCTTCACGTTACATGCAAAAGAAAAGTACATGGAGCACAGTCTCGGAGTGAGTGAACATTTTAATTTATTAATTTATTATTTATTATGTTGTTGTTGATTTACTCTTTATGTTTACAGTACTTGTGTGAAGGATAATTGATGTTTCGTTCAAGTTACCCTGAATATATGGCAATACTCAAACATCATCATGTGATCCAGGCCATATGAACTTTCAAAAAGATCACTTCAGCTTAAGTTTCCAATCGTATGACATGATTGTTTGAACAATTAAACAGGTATACAAGCCCACAATAAAACAATATTGCAATGATAGGTTATTTAACATTTTTATAACACACATAGAAGACGTGAAAGTATTGAAAGTATATTTAACAAAAACGTATAAAATTTAGGAACGTTTCTCAACTTCTTAGCAAGTTTTATTACTATATTCTATCCCAAACACCTAAAAGGACATTCTCATTATTCTCTAATAACTCGATCTTGAAGATATTTTTACACGTACTTAAAATTCCAGGTACGTTTTACCTTGGCCGCGTGGTTTTATTGTCAGACGGTTTCAATTAACTCGAAACTTCATTAGGGGAAAAGTAATCTTTCAGCGCACTATCCCTACTTATTTCAAAAAAACGTAGAATTATCGTGTCACATATATACGTGCTAACGTCAAGAATAAGTCAGCCCAAAGATTCCTTGGGAAATCAGCAGCAGCTAAAAGAAAAGTGTGAAATATGGGACTTCTTTTTTTAAGGAAAACGAATAGATATATTAAAATGCTCTCAGAGTATTTCTGCATTTAATTTATAATGTTTACGAGAAGAATGTATACTTTAAAAGAGTTGTGTTTTTTACTAAAACAAACATATTTGTCGTAATGAAAAACTTATCAGAGTAATTTTATGTGTTTAGATTTAACGTAAAGTTACACAAGGGCTATCTGCTCTAGCAGTCTATAATTTGAAACTTCTGGGATACTATAGTCAAGTAATAAATGTGAACGTCACTTTTATAAAGCACCGAAAGCTCCAAACTGCAGAGTACGAGTGTGCGGTAATGGGACGCGAACCTCGAGCCTTCAGATATATAGTCCGGCACACTAACCACTAGACCAAGTCCAGCCCGAATTAATTTGAAGGTAGAAACACTTCAAGTAGTTTCTTTATGTAGAACGATTCACCTAGGTCTATATTTATTTTTTAAATTATCTTTTCACAAAGAAAATAAATATTTTTGTATATGTAGTAGCGACTTATGTCACTAAAACTGCTCCATCTAGTACAATCACTAAAGCTATCACCAGTATGCATATTTTTATACCATTATGATTCAAATAAATTAGGAATGCATTAGCCTTATCATAATGAATATACCTGAGGAACAAAAAAAGAAAAACGCAAACTGATAATAATAATAATAATAATAAATGCCAAGAAGCTCATTTTTGTGCTTCAGGCTCCATAGAAGAGGACGACATACCTATAATTGTCAACATAATTTCCGAATATCTGGTTCGTGCTATCCTGAAGTCTACCCGGCAGGTATATCTACCCTCATCTTGTTCTGTAACCGACGTTAATTGCAACGTTGCAGGCTTTGACACTGTGCTAAAGTAAGTCCTTGTAGCGTAGCTATCACTTGATGAGTGTCTTCCATGTCCAAGAACTCCTCGCCTAGCATCAAGACTGTATATAGGTGTTGATGACTCGTCTTTGTACCACAACACCAACGCTACATCATCGTCGAATGTAGGTGGCGCAATACTACAAGGCAGAGAAACTTCCTGGCCCAAGATTCCATCAATTTTAATCGCAGAACCTGCTGAAGGAAGGTACATAATTATTGCTTAGATTTGTGGTACTTAATAGATATTCTAAAACTTTCGAAAGCACTTAAGTGGTATTAACGACTAACTTTATAAATGAAAACTAAAAAGCTAGTTATAAATTAAAGACGCTAATTCTACATAACAAATTTATTAGAAATACACAGTTTCATGCATCAATACACAATAAAATCAAAATCCATAATGATCAATACGTAATGCTTCACCTGTGGGGGTTTCCTCGCTGCTATTAACGACATTTTTAGTCATAATCCCGATAATATCTTAAAACCTAAACTAAACTGTACTAAACTAACAGTACAAAATAAACTTCAAAGTGAAAAATCAGTGAGAATGATATTCAAACTCATTTTCAACATTATAACCGATGATATTAAAGAAACTGACTTTAAAGAAAAATGGAGAAAATAATTGTTTATTTGTTTGAAGTTAAGCACAAAGCTACACAATTGGCTATCTATGCTCTGCCAACCACGGATATCGAAACCCAGTTTCTAGCGTTGTAAGTCCGCAGACATACCGCTGTGCCACTGGAGAGGGGGCGGAGAAAAATAGTAATTAATTTTTTTATTATTAATTGAGGGATGATTTTCATTTGCTATAATTTAACTATGAAGCTAAAGAAGAGAGTCCTGTATCAAAAACTGCAGAATTAAACGTTTTCAATTTCAACGAAAATTAGTAACACATTCCTGAAAATAAATGTAATTGTGTCTAAATATAAGGCATGATATTTTTGGGTAAAACAGGAAAAATGTTTTGTTTTCTCTTATCTTATTTGTTTCAAATATAAAACTAAACAATCTTAAAAAATGGCTTACGTACGAATGAGAATGTTGCTCGTGATACAATTATTAAGATTATAAAAGTCTAATGAAATATCTGTCACACAGCAAACATATGGCGATTAGATTTTATAATGTTTATTAGAACAAACTGTCACTCTCAGAAAATGGCAATGAAATAGGGTTTCTTGTGAACTGTACGCTATTAACTTCTTTTATCAGTGCTGACATAAACTTTGATAGGTGTTCTCAATGTTAGATAATCTATTACACTAAATGCCAATACTACTAGAAACAAATATTGAAATGCTGTTATTGTAATAATTGGAATTATTATGAATTTCACACTTCAATAACTAATATAGACTATATCTTTACTCAGATATTTCACATAATATTTTCTACATTTCTATGCAGTTCTAGCATTCTCATTGAATAGATTATCTCAAATTCTTTCAAGCAGGTAAAGGCTACATACTGTAATCTTTGTTTTTAGGTCTCAAACGCGTTTCTTTATAGTCTTCTAAGAAGATAGTCTATTCAAACAGAGAATGCACAAACCTGTACAACTAACTTGCTTGGCTTAAGATTGATTTTGGCTCCTAATATCTTGATATTTGAGCTCTTTGACTCTTGATTTCGCTCTTAGGTGCTCTTGACTTTTCTCTTCTGAAAACCCAGCAGCTAGACGACACAGATAAAGAAGACCATCCAGTTTTGGTTTTAAAAAAACATTATGGTTTTAATAAAAAAATGTGTGTTTCTGTGTACACTGGCGTGTGTTTGTTTGCTGTTGTTTTTTCCTCTGCTGTCGATGTTCAGTTCATGATCCTACATTTTGCAGAACCTTTTCGCTTTTCTGCTGGACATCAGTGTACCTGAATAACACATTATAATCGTGTACTAACATCTTGTGTCATCATGGTATTCTCTATAAATGTCAGCCATTCACAGTTTAAAGTTTTATCCTTAGACGACAACTACCGTAGTTTTTGGTTTTCGATACGTCTCATATACGTTTCAATAGTTCAGCAAGTAGGGGATCCAAATCAATCAAATTGTTCACATTGTGAAAGACGCATAAAATGCGGTGAAATATCAGCTAATATATTATAAATTCTATAAGATTCAAACCATACTTCGTTCATATCCAATCACTTGACCTAGGTATCTGCGGGGTTGAGTGCACATCCGCCTTGCTATACAACCCTTTATATGTGCTTCAGCAAGGCATCCTGAGTTTATAGTTGTTTTCAAGAGTCTAAATGTTTGTCCGCCTGCCTACCTTGGCTCACTGTGTTAAATGGGGAAGCTCTATAATTCATGGAACTACAATCCTTTTAACTTCAGAAAATCATTCCTCTGTAACTATTTCCGATAATGCTGACAAGTCCATCAAACAAAAAGCTGTAGTTAGAAATACTCTCCAGACATCCTAAAAATGCTGAGAAGGCATATGTTATGTCGCATTCGGTTAATGCATGAAACGTTAGCAATGTTCTTGATTTCTGAACTTAGTGCTCCAAAAATTTCATGTGCAGTAATGTATTTATAGGATATGTTCTTCTTAAATTCTATACAAACTTCTGGAATATCAGTTCAGTAACAGCTACTACAGGTAAAACTATGAATCATTACCATACTCACAACGTTCAGCATGAGTAGAGAACAGCAACGTTCCCCTTATTAACTATTGGCTGCGAGATTGACAGTAACACATATTACTTGTGAACAACTCCCACTTTTCATGCACTTGACTGGCAGCTATCTTTGTGTCTGAAAACTTAAACAGGTCTAATATGTTTACAAGCACTCATTGGAAGGTAAGTTAGTTGGGTGGAAGAGCTCCTATCGGAATAACTCGTCTGTACTCTCCAATACCACGACTTCCTCATGTTGATTGATTGTATTAAGCTTCCTGGGATATATACATCCCACACTACATTCAGTGTCTGTGACAATAACAGCTGACCAAGAAGATGAATCAACAAAATTTATCTGACATATTTCGAAAATGTAAAGACACCAACTGGCTGTATTGTATATACCACGGCTGTTACACGAAAAGAGTGCACATTCATTATATATGTTTTGTGTTGATTTCCTATGAAACAGAATGAAAACTGAATTGTAGTTTGTTGTGATTGTGTGTGTGCAACATTTTAAGGGCGTCGATACAACCTACCTTGCACATATTCCTGGTAGTGGTATATTTCAGTTTGCTTTAATTTGCCCATTCATTCAAACACAGACCGTTCTCTGAAGGATTTAGTGCCCATGACCCGCAGATCCCCATTATTTTCGAGGATATGATTTCTAAGGATTTCCATAACAGTTATCAAGAGTTTCATATCAATATCAAAACTCGTTTGACTTGCAAGGACTTCCTTATGGTACCAATTAGGCTGGATGGTAAGCTTTACATCACTCTAGAATTCAGGTATAAAGCTAACTAACTCTGATGATGGATTTCTCTAACACTTAAGGCTTCTCATTCACCTTTTATAACATAATGATTAGGGACAACAAGGGACTTGTTGGTTCATCCAGTATGTCCCAAATGTAAACGAAACCAACACTATTAAGAAACCCTCAAATTCAGCCCTTACCATTTAAAGTGTTATCAAGCGTTCTCATTTAAATTTACTGTCTACCCAACATCTGAAAGCAACCCATTCAAAAGTCCAACTAACCTGTTAACAAAATATAACTGTCTTAACTGAAGATGACTCATACCCTGCCAAAAATTATATTTGTGTTCCTTAGTCCTACCATTCTCACCATTAAGTATGAAAAAATATGATGCATCAACACCATTAATTCCCTTAATAATCTTAAACACCTCAACCAGATCTCCTCTATCTCTTCTTTTTTTATTAGGAGAAAACAATTTCATATGACAACCCCTCCATCACAGGCACTATTCTAGTTGCCCTCCTCTGAACCTTTTCCAACAATCCAATGTTCTTCCTAAGGTAAAAAGCCCAAGACTAAATACAATACTTCACATTTGTTCTAACCAGCGACTTATAAAATGAAATTATAACCACCTTAGACTAGTATTCAATATTTCTGTAGATACAAACTAAAATCCCATTTGTCCTACCACTAGCAACAGCACACTGCATGGATGGTTTAAGAGACTGATCAACCACCACACCAAGATCTATTTCCCTCATAGCACTCTTAAAATTATTCCCTCCAAATTATACTTATAATTCAAATTATGATAACCCACAAGCATTATCTTACATTTATTATAATTAAAAGCCATCCTCCTCACAGCTAGCAACACCCAAGAACTTAATTGCTTGTTTGTTTTGAATTTCGCACAAAGCTACATGAGGACTATCTGCGCTAGTCGTCCCTAATTGAGCAGTGTAAAACTAGAGGGAAAGCAGCTAGTCATGTTTAACCAACTCTTTTATCAACGAATAGTGGGTTTAACCGTCACATTATAACGCCACCACATTTGAAAGGGCCAACATGTTTGGTGGAACGCGGATTTGAACCCGCAACCCGCAAATTGCAAGTCGAACTCCCTAACCACCTGGCCATGCCTAGCCCCATAAAATGTAAGTAATTTATTGACGATCCCTTCATCTATGTCATTGATGTAAATCAGAAAGAGCAAAGGTCTTAAGACTGAGCCCTGGTGTACCTCAATTGTGACATTAATCCAGTTTGATTGAACTCCATTTATAACAACCCTCTGTTTTATTTCATTCAGCCATCCTATTTGCAATTTGCTAAACTATCCTGCATAACTGTAAATATAATTTTTACAAGCCTTTTATGTGGCACCTTGTCAGATGCTTTGTGAAAACCCAGAAATGCCAAATCTACGCTTTTACTTTTATTTACATAAGCAGTAGCCTTTTCAAAGAATGTCAAAATATTTCTAAAACAAAATTTTCCCTTAGTGAAATCATGTTGCCTATGAAATAAAATTCTCAACTTTGTTAAATGACTTTGCAAAGCATCTTTTATCAGACTTTCCAAACTTCTCCCACAAATGATGTAAGTATAATAGGTCTATACTTACTGGGGCAATTACCTCTCTTGAAAAGTAACATTAGATAACTTATAATCTTCTGGCACCTGCCCACTATTCAAGCAGTAAGTGGCTCACTTATCTAATCCTTAACCTCCTTCAAAATCCTTGGGGAAATATTATCTGGCCCTGGAGA